AAAAAAAAGCATTGCTCCTGATATGTTTCTCAAAATATATTTTTATCATCAACTGCTTCCAGAAACTGATAGAAAGCAGCGAGGCCAATTATAAAAAAATCAGAAGCATTTGTTCTACGAAATATATAGCTTAATTACATTACATAATGAAATGAATAATATAGTACATTATTAAGGAACAGAGATGAAAATATACGATATAAAGATCACAAAGCGTTGAAGGTGTAAACAAAATTCTTGATGTGAACCAAAATCAGGTTACCGGGATTTGTTTAGAAGAACTCATTTTTTAAGTCTTTAGAAAAGCATCATGGGAACTGGCCTAATTTTGTGACATGTTGACTGCGGGATATACCATAATATAAAAATACGATGTATAGCAAATATTGGACAAGAACCAGAAGGGAACTAATACAGGGAGCTTTTAATAATACAGACAAAAATAACATTTCAAAGCTTATTAAACCACAATAAGAGATTAGGAAAATTCCAACAGTGCTAAGAAACGTTCACTAAAGAAAGATTTTTATTTCTCTGCGTTTGCCATTTGTTTGAGAAGCTGCTCTTGAGATTTTAAGGGATGTTTTACTAATAATTGAAGATGAAAGCATATCTTTGGAATGACTTTGGCAACACCAACACTACGATTCATGAGGTGTAATACTAAAAGTTAAAATTAGGATATATCTTGTAAGAATGGTGCACGCAGTACAGCGGTGCGACTTCACACAGGTTAATGCTAGTGAATTTCGGACAATAAATAAATAATTGAAATCTGTAAAAACAATCCTTTGAAACGATGACGCCCATTTCATTGACGTTTGACGCCCATGCTTCTCAGAGAGGGCGACTTCAAATGGGGCGAAATGTTTTCGAAATGCCCTTGCCAAAGAAAGTTAATTTCAACTTCCCTGTGTACGAAAGACCAGAAAAAAAAATTATCATCGTACTTCACTACCCAGATAGACGTAATTAGCTGCTTGTTATGCAGGTTTGAAGCATGCAAGAAGTCTCCAATTCTTATGTTTCAAATTCTGTGCTGGAAATTGTTACTAATGGCGTGTTTAAAATATTCCATAAATGCGATCATTTTATGGAGCACTGTGAACTTGGATTAATTGATGTTTCCCGTCACGACCACTGCCATGGACATTGGAGCCTTTCGAGCGATTAATGTTATGTTCAGGAAGGTGGTGGTTTTCTTCCTCGGCTCAAGGGTGAGATACAGCGCCGCCCTGCATGTCGGCTTTCCCACATGCAGCTATAAACGCCAGTAGGACACTTCGCTAACGGGGTCAAACTATTCGCTCCCGACATGTGCTCAGACCTGTGACGTGAGCGCGCGTGTGTGAGTGTGAATGAAAGGTGAGAGAAGGGGACAGATCCGCGCAATCCATAGAAGTTCGCAATGGTACTTGTTAGACCTTCGCCTGATGCTGATCTAAAAAAACACGGAAAACTAGCGATCAGAGCGACCGCAGACATTCTCAGTGAGACACCAGCCGAATTTGACCTAGTAGCTTTATAACTAGTTTAGAACATTCGCCACTGTCGGGACTGAAACTCTAGGACCACCCGGAGAGACTCGCTACATAGGAAACGGCCATTCTAGCTCTGAGCTCCTCAGCTGGTCACACTAAACTGCAACATTGTTTGCCAGAATTTGTCGGTTGCACTGCACTATGCTCTTGTGAGCGTTTAAAACATTTTTGATTATGTCCGACTGTACTGACTAATTCTAACGACGCCATAGAAGTGTACACCGGCATCAATTGATGTCACTGAACGCCTCTGAACGGGAGTCCCAATGGTGACACTAGCTCGTTAGCTCGGTCGAGTTGAGCCGCTCACTCGAAGAAAGTTCTAGCACCCGGCTGCTCTGATCGACAGTTTTCTCAGTTGTTTACCCATCAACATGAGGCGAATGCCCTTACCAAAAGGGCCACGGACCGCGCGAGATCTCTCCTTCATCATCCTTGTCATCTCCTAACCCCCTTGCACACATCGCACGAACATGCACTACACTACCACATGTGCTGGCAGATGTCCGAAATTTAGAGCTTGCCCCGGGTGGGAAATATCCGCAAGCCGACGTACGTCGGTCTGGATTACGCCATCTAGAGGGGGAAGACCACCTCCAACTCCCGCGATAAAACGTGTACTACCGGAACGAATAACCTTAGCAGTTGACGCGCCCGGGGTCACTAATCAATGAAAACGAATAGGAAGGAGCCTCACTTCATCATCATGCGCGTGCATGGCTCACCTTCTTCCTCTGCCACTCGAGCTCGTTCTTGGCGCGCTGCACCTGGTAGACGCGGTTGCGCAGGGCGTAGTCGGTGGCGTCGTGCTGCGCCGCCACGTCGTTCTTGCTGCGCATGCGCGTCGTCTCCAACGTCTCGCGCAGTTTCTCCGATGCCGCCACCTCATTCTCGCCCTTCGCCTTGTTCACGCGCATCGACTCCGTCCACCCGGCGTACGTCAGCATGCTGCGGGCACACGTGCAAAGCGCAGCGCTCGCTATTGGTGGCGAGAAGGCATCCCTCCGGCGACGAAATGGGCGGTTTCAATTTATCTCAGAGGCTTCTTTCAGATTTTAGTATTTTCTACATGCAGTAAATCTGCAACATGGGATAGCCTGATTTACTTTTCATGAATTTATTTTTTTCATTTTCGAAGGTTTTTTCGCAAAGGGCTTTGATCGAAATTGAACTCGTGAACTTGGATATAATAGACAGCGTTGCATTACCGAAACCCAAGCTTACTAGGACCCGCACGGAACATGATTTGCAAAGAAATGCCGTGAAAAACATCTTAACGGAGATTTTTTTTTTTTTGCACAGCATAAAGCATCCTTTGTAAAAAAATCTCTGCATGCACGACTCTACAATTAAGTCATAACGAAGGTGCTACAGAACGGCACAGATTTTCCTTATTTTCGTTGTTTTCGGTTGTCTTGGGCTAGCTATTCGGACTAGCCACATACTCTTGCCAGCTACCATCTATCACCACACCCAAAGCATTCTTTTTAAATATTCGGTTTCCAAATAATAGAACGGAAATATTATTTTAAGAATATTAAAGAACAGTGAAACATTGTCCTAAATGGCAATTTCTTTCGAAATATTTGGAACCGCTTTTAAGACAATTGTAGTAGTCGCCCGCGCCCCTTTGAAAGAACCGGCACCGGGGCGCAGCAGCGAGGCGGCGGCGCCCCAGGAAAGTACTGACAATGCTCACAGAAGGTCCCTTAGGTTCAGCTCAGCGGAGCCGTCACGCTTCGGTCGGCGCGCCCGGGCGCGCCATAGGTCGTACATCCGGGCCAGCCGGCGAGTCTTCACACCTGACCGAGTATAAAACGGGGCGCAGCGAGCAAGTGAAGCAGTTACAGTCCCATCATAGTGCGTTCTGCGAGGGTGCCAATTGTTTAGCGATTACGTTGCCGACCAATATTACGAACTTCATTTTGGGTGTTGAGATCGTGACCACGGCATTGTGTTTGGGCATCTCTTCGACTTTTGGTAAATTTGTCAAGTACCCGGTAAATTTCCTGGTTATTTTGTGACTACGCCTATAAACGGCTTTTTCTGTATCCTCGGCAATTGTGAATAAAAAACTGTCAAACATACAAAATTAACTTATTTTGGTCATAACGAAATGGTGTTTAAAAGCTTCTCTAAATTCGAAATTTTGAAACTCTTTTTCACCGAACATTTTTGATTTTGAGAAATATTTGACATTTTAAGTCATATATTGATTAGTATTTACAAATTGCTGGAAATAAGCAGATTAACGATGTAAAAGATCTTTCGAAAACATTTCATTTGTGTCATTTTTTTAAAAAAAAGAATTTCCCAAAATTAACTTTACGTCACATTAAAGAATGTAAAAACCTCTATCCGTTCCAAGAAAGTTTGAAGAAAAAATTTACAACAATGAAAGAAAGTGAGTTAGTGATTTATGAGAGATGTTTGAGCAAGTTTACACAGAAAATGTTTTAGAGAAATAGAAATAAGACATTATTCAAAGCACATATACTCAAAAATATAATATGAACAAATCGCCGCTAATGAAAATACAAACGACGTGAGTCAAGTAAAAAAAAAAAATTCGTAATTTTGGAAAAAAGAAAGGAATAGACCAGTATGGCTTTTGTCTTCTTATAGTGCATATTTAGCACTATCCGTCCCAAATGTTTAAAGGAAAAACATTTGGAACAGTTTTTGTGAAAATCTTGTCAAAATTGCACATAGTGCAGGCAATGCGCGAAAACTACAAAATTTTCAAAAAAATGCACACGACCTTAATAAAAGAACCAAATATGGACCACAAATTTTATTTGGAAAAAAAACTTATCTTCAATTTTGTAGTTGTAGGAAAATGCCGCAAGGATGTCAAAATTTTGCAATACACGCAAATTTAGTTAACCATGAAAATCTGATATATGCGACTTTTATAAGTGTATTTTACTCTCTTCTTGAAATAAATAAATTTAAAGAAAAAATTGTAGTTTTTTGAGAAGATTTTGAGATGTTTGGGGGCATGTAAAGTACTCCCCAATTTTGAAGTAAGTTTTTCAAAATCGCAGCCCCTTGAGTGGAGCCAGATTGGCCGAGGAATATCTATTTTGGAAAAAAATGGTAGGTATGTTTTAGGCGCTCATGGCTCTCTCAGACGGACGATCGTTCTTCCTTCAATTGGTTTTTCTGTATCAAGGACCCACAAAACAGAATTTCTGGCCTCACCACGTGTTGGAGGATTTTTCTTAATTTAGCAACTGGATTTATCCACTTTTTCGTTTTCAGGTCCTAGTGATTTTTTTCTCCCGAAAATCCTCCTTTTTCGCGCAGCATTGCGTAACTTTCCCTCTACTACGTATACTACTCCATACATACGGGAAAGTAAAATATCAGTCAAATGATTGAAGAAAATGGTATTAATAAAAAAAATACTTTTGTTCTTCGCAGTCCGTATCTACTTTACTGTTGCAAAAAGTCTAATGTCGCAAAACAGTTATTTCAAACTATTGGTGAATCAGACTGGCACAGACTTTCTCGTAGTAAAGTTTTCTAATTTTCTTGGTGTGGACTGGCATTACGGTCTTGCTCCATCCTCATTACAACTGCTGTCTATCGTCGACCAAAACACATTTTATCAATTTTCTTTCAATTTTTCGGCGTCCTAATTGCAGACCTGAAATATTTAAGAATATTAAAGAAGAGTAAAACCTCGCCATAAATGGCAATTTTTATGGAAAAATTTGGAGCTATTTTTAAGAAAATGGCATTAAATGTTATTGCAAATGGGAAATTTGAAGTTTTTTATCACAGAATTTTTTTGAGTTTTATAAAAACTTCATTTGAAGTAATTTAACCCACTTTCACTCATAAATGCAACAGTGTTTACAAATCGCTGGAAATGTCCATATTAAAGGCGTGAGAGATTTTAAAAGATACATTTATGTAATACTTTTGTTTTTGAAAAAACAAAAGAAAAAGAAAAATGAACTCTATGTCACATAAACAGTGCAATTAGCAATATCCGTTGGAAAAGTTTGAAAAAAAAAATTGCAGCTAATTTTTGAGAAAATGGCAATTTTGCGCGGATTTTGAGCTCATTTTCACAGAAAACTCTGAGTTTTTTGAGAAACTGTATACGTCATTATTTAAAGGTGTACTCAGGAGAGGGATTGGTTCGTTTTGTAAAAAATCGTACGTATCGTACGACAGACGGACGGACGGATGGACGAACGGACGGACAGACAATTGGACGGACGTTTAAAAACAACACTTTTTCGGCATCCGAGGAAGAACATGCATTTCCGTTGAAACCACGAAGTCGATTTTTCGCAGCATTACATAACACTATACCACTCCGCATACAAGAAAGTAAAATGTCTCTGCCAATTAAATGTGCATGTATAGTTTGAACAACCTTGATTAATGTCTGTAGAAACAATAAATAGCCTTTTTTATAAATTGCGTGTTCCTTCTGCTGTATAAATACTTCACTCTGAGCATTTGCATTTTTGAGGTACTTTTCACTTTCCCGTATACATACGTCTACAAGGAGTAACATACGTAGTATATGGTAGTTATGTAATGCTAGGCGAAAAAGTGTCAAAGAAAAATACATTGCTGGGCCCTGATAACGAAAAAGTGGATAAATTCAGTTGCTAAATTAAGAAAAACTATTGGTGCTGCCAAAGCACATACTTTCTCGCAATGTATCTATCCCTCCACAATATTATATTGATATGCATATTGTATTGAATTGATGTGACATAAATTTTAAAAATAAAACAGAGTTGTACATTAGTTTAAAATTTCAGATTCGAAAATGACATACAGACAATTTCAGCTTCTTTCGAATCTTAACAGATTGAATATGTGAGTAGAATTTATTCAAATGATTTTCATTAGAGTTTCTGAAATTCTCAATAATTTTAGTACCAACAGAGAGTTGCACGAGACAGGCTCGAACCAGCGGCCCTTCCCTTCGAAAGGCTGAGTTCCAACCTGACATTTAATCACTTCAGCCACCCGCGTTAGGCAGAGAACCGGCACTTCTGTAATAAGCGTCGAAAGGCAACAATCGCATTGTCGAGATGTTTTACGAATTGAATAAGAAATCTGGAAAATTATTTAGAAGTTGAAAATTCGAAAATCACATACCGACACGTCCAGTTTACTTATCTTAATTCTATTTGCGATAAGAATTGCTTCAAACGGTTTTCATTAAAGTTTCTGGTATCCTCAATTATTTCCCGCAGAAACTGAGAATTGTGACAAATAATCACCGACTTAGACACGAATCATCTCTTCCCCTCTGACGACCAGAACCCGTAAACACCAGTCAGACACCTCGGCCACCCGGTTAGCACAAAAGCTTCACACACATATATAATAGTAATAAGCATATGGTGGTTTCAGGTTTGGCATTAGGAAGCCAAAAAATCGAGAAAATGACCTTTGGGCGACCAAAGAAGGTATCTGCGAAGAGAATCAGTCACAACTGAAATCCTAGTTTACACTAAAGACATTACAAAAGTAAATACTATGAGAAAGACCATGGCACCACTAGTTTATTTATTTAAAATATTAATTTTCTACAAGAAAGTTTTTCTGAGGAAAAACTAACTTTATTTTGTAGTTTTGAATTGTTTTTGCAATTTTCGAAAAACCGAGTAATTTCTGAAAATGGGTCTAGCACCATATTTCTTACCGTTCTTTATTACTTATGTGGAGAATATTTAAATAAAAAATTTGAAGCGGTTTTTGAGAAAAAATGTTGTAGTAAATTTAGATTGCAAGATCCACAAAAACTACTCGCTTTTTCAGAAAGTAGAAATCGACATTTTAAAGAAGAAATTTTGCACAA